CCGGATGGTCATTCTTAATATTGATCAAGCTTTTTAAAAGTTTTGTTGTCATCTTTTAACACCTATTATGTGATTTATTACACTTACTAAATGCCCATGAGGCTTATTGGGACATGAAAGGTATTGAAATCAGTACTTAATGCTCTTGCACTTTCCCGCCGTTTTTTTGTTGAACTTTAATTAGAACTTACCGCTGATGTTGACTTTCTGAGTGCTTGAATGTGAGAAAGTAAACTCCAACCGAGAAGAAGTTTTAATATTTCATGAGGGACATCCATAAAACTCTACCGATTTCCTCTTCATTTATTTATTATTATTATTATTGCTGTTGTTGTTGTTGTTGTTATTATTATTATTATAAATTATTATTATTTTATCCTGATTGTTACAGTGTATACCTAGCTTTTTATACACTAGGGATGGGATGGATTTTGTATAAGTTATTTATGAACAGGGAATTAAATATTGCATGAATTTTCATACATTTCCTAAATTACATAATAAATTATGGTACAGTACATGTAATTACTTTATTGTTCCAGCATTATATATACAGAACAACTCCTATCACATCTCACATGGATAACTCAAACCCAGTGCTAACATTAGAACTGAAATCTGATGATTCAAAACTCTTAATTTGTATTCAGTTACTATTGGATTACTTGGATCCCTGATTACTAGAATAATTGATTCAATTTTCCTTCACTGTTTGGGTAAGCAAGGTAATATGGTATTTCTGTTGTGTTTCAAGAAAAATGTGGTGGAGCTAATTTCCCTGCTCTAATAATTATTATTACAGGCGACAAAAGAGCTACCACAGCTTGCTGGGCGTTCAAAAGAAATACTTCGCCACCTGTCTGTCAGTTTGATTTATAGAAGAAACCACATGAACAACACCAAATACTGGAAGCGAGCACATCAGGTATACCAACATTTTACATTTGCCTGCTTGTTCATGAAATTTGATCAGCACTTTGTGGGACACAGCAATATTTATAATAACTTTTGCTGAAGGTTGAAGTCCAGTTTATTAGATTGATACTTGAAATTTTTCAGCCTGACACTGAAAGTCATAGGTTCTTTTATGTTGGTTTTTAATGTATATGTTGTGGTTCAAATTTTTCCTTAGTTTCAAATTTATAAAACTAGTTTGATCTTTATTTTTCTTTGTCTTGTAATAATACACCTGGTCTTTATTGTAGATAGACAAGTACAAGGGAATGGCATGCAACAGGCCACAGCCCAAAGATGGCAAGTCAGTGGTAGATGTGATTGAGCAGAGGTTGGAAGGATCTGGATTTGTTTTCAAGTCTGCATAAGTTCAAGAATATTTATTTGTAATGTTGTAGTGTATGCCTTTTAAAATAAATGAAGCAGTCACTTTTTCTATTTTGGTACCATTACCATTGTAACTTCAATATGCCATACACGTGTACATACATGGCATACATTCATGCACATATACGTACATATACATACATGTAAAGCATGAAGTAGGTTTTCCCTTCAAACCGATGCAGGAGGCTCTAGGCACAAATACAGGAAATACAGTACCGATCAGAAGAAACCTAACAGGGAACGCTTGACAGAACGCATTCTGTATCCGTTCTGTACCCATTCTGTATCTGTTCCCTATCCGTTCCGTATCCATTCCGTTCCCGTTCTGTATCCGTTCTGTATCCGTTCCATTCCCATTCCGTTAGCGTTCCATTAGTAAGCATTCTCGAAACTCGTTCAGAAGAATGATGTTTCCAACAACCCGTTTGCAAGAATGCTTTTAATAAGGGGAATTAGCGACAGTGATTTGCAACTTCACGAAATGGGTAAACTCGCTTTATGCGAGAAAACAAATGGTAAACTTACATTTTCGTGGTGAAAATGTAAGTCAAATTACTTGGAATATACGGGATGAAGATGCCATAGTAGCTTCAAGACTGGCAGTGAGCCTTTTCCTTAAACAATACAAAGCAACCGGCAGTCTTTGTGATCGCCCAAGGAAAGGAAGAAGAGCGAAGCTCTCCATACGACACTTCACGAGCGTTTCATTCTTGGGCTACCAGATCCACTTGAAGCCCGCGTTAACTTTGCAGCGGTAGATTTTGAGATGAGTCCGCTGGTCGTAATTGCATTTTGCGTTCCAGCACGTGAGAGCAAAGTTTTTCAGTCTGTGGTTACGTGCCTGCTGTCTTTTGCCATTTGTGATAAATTTTGACGGTATGTGTGACGAATATGCTATAAAGGTCATCGTTGGAAACAGGTCGATATACTGGTAAGTTCGGTTTTTCTTATTTTATTGGAAACTTTAATAGTTAGCAGTTTCTTCTTGTCATTTTACCAGAAGCTTGATTTTGCGCCTGACAGTCTGTCTACGTGTTGTTTGCAATCGCTCAAAAATGATAGGGTTGCCTCAGTCCAATTTTACATTGAAAAGTCTTGTCGAGTGCAAATGTTTATATTGGACCTTATTCACCAGTGAAATGACTCAGAAGTGGATGTATTGGAAGGTGACAGAAAGGATCCATCAGAACGACACCCGTTGCTCATTCTCCTAGATTGGCTCATCGAGGATTGCTGTCCATTAAGCCCTTACACTCAAAAGAAGATTACAGACCTGGTTTCAGTTTGCACCAATCTCGATTGTATGAGAGTGGAATTTTTTCAGTATCTG